TTCGAATTCGAACTACACGTTTGACGCGTCTTTCTTATATATGACATGGAAATTTCTATAAGTGGATATCGGTAATTTTTTGGTAACAATACAATTTTGACGCGTTTGACGCGTTTTGAGGAGATTCTCGTGTAACCGCTAGTTATAAAAAGTGTGCCTGTTCACCTAATGCTGCGTTCGGTTGAGAATATCTTTGGGCGATTATTTTGACGCATTTATTCACCTTTCTTCCTTGTTCCCGAGTCCCCAGACACCATTTATATCTTGTAGAAACTAAAATATTTGTCGCGTACCATCTCACTATTTGCTAATTTACGACCTCATTTCGCCATCTAGTATGAGTGGAGAAGCACAGCCTTTAACCGTTGCAGTTGTTGACGAAATTATTGCTACAGAACAAAATGAAAGCTCAAATTCCACCGTGAGAGAACTTCAAACGGGTTTAACTACCATGGAAGAGTATTTGAATGAGAATGAGGGACAACTTTCACGCAAAGTATGTTATTGAGAATACAGTTAGAAAGAAAGAAGCAGTAGCCTGATTTTATTGTATATCATGAGTTACTTTCAAATATGTTCCTGCACTAAGTATCATTCATTTATCATAATAGAGGAAACAAGACGAAGATTCTGACTCGGAAGAAAGCGCCGAACCTTCTAAGGTTGCGGTAAGCACCGACCACAAGAAACCATCATATACGTACTCATCTCTTATCGGACAGGCACTTCTGGCGTCTCCCAATAAGAAATTGCCATTAAATGAAATTTATTTGTGGATTTCTCGCACCTACCCATTCTATTCAATGACCAAGAAAGGATGGCAGGTATGTACCGAATAAATGGTTATACATTTGTAAATAATTAATAACCGGGGGTTGAATTCAATTTTAGAATTCTATCCGCCATAATCTTACACTATGTCCCGCCTTCCATAAAATGGAACGCGATGATGGTGTAACCGGAAAAGGATCTTTTTGGACGATCCCCGATGAATATGAAAGATGTTTTGTCAATGGAGTTTACAAGAACGATAAACCTAAGGAAACGAGGAGGACCAAACGTGCAAAGACAAACACCGATCAGTCAGTTGATAACTTGCCTCAAAATACCGTAATGCAGACCCAAGAAATTAACAACGTGACCTCGCCGTG